AAGAGTTGCATGCTCTTCCAGCTGAGCCAGCTGGGCACCCCTGGCCCATGTGGTGGTTTGAAAAATTAGAAATTTTACATAAAAAGTAGAACAGCAAAATTATTCAGAAACTATCTACTGATTTGGTAGTTAGAAATTATGTGTTCTTAACATGAACAGTAAATGAAAGTCACTTTTCACTATTGAAGTTCCTAGACTTAGTGAAGTTACATGTTAGATTGTAGATTTATGTCCAGAAGGGATGCAAATCCCTACTTTCTCTTCAGTGGACTGGATACTCCAAAGGTAATATATGGCTTATTACCCTGTCGGATATCAGCCAGTTTGTATCTAACTTTGCAACCTTACACTAACATTCCATTGTTGCAGTGCCTAGGAGCACCTGGGTGGCTCAGTCCAACTCTTGGTTTCTATTCAGGTCACAGTCTCTGGGTTGTGAGATTGAGCCCTGCATCAACTCCATGCTCAGCGGGGAATCTGCTTGAGATTCTCTCCCTCTGTCCCTCCCCCCAACTCTCTCTCAAATAAAATCTTTTAAAAAATAGAAATAAATTGCCTCTAAGGATCCATTATGCAAACACACTTTGATAACAGTGTTAATATCTTACTGGTTCCCTCATTAACTGAGTTGAATAAAATATCATGTTCCTTTTAAATTTGCATGGGATTCTTGATTTCAGCTTTTTGGAAGTCTACTGTAACAGAACTTTTAATAACTGTCAAAAGGAGACAGAACAAAATCTTTTAAAAGTTTACTTGTAAGGAAAAATTGCAAGGGAGTTCAGGCTTTAGCACAGGCTCACCAAATAGAAATTATAGTATTTAAATGACAAAAACAAGAATAAAATGCAGATTACCAGGTCTATTAATTCAAGCGAATTTACTGACTGCCTACTGTGCCAGTCTCTGTTCTTAGTGCTCTAAATGAGGTGAACAAGAAGATCCTTACTCTGTGAAGTTTTAACTTGAGCACAGAATTGTTCTCAAACTCAGAGAAATACTGACATTTTGGGCCAAAGAGTAATTTCTTTTGGGGGCTATCATGCATACTGTAGGATATTTAGTAGCATCCCTGGGCCCTTCCCCCTAGATATAGTAGTATTTCCCCAGCTGTGACAATCAAAAATGTCTCCAGATGTTGCCAGATGTTGGGGAGGGGGGGGGAGAGTAAGCAAAATGTCTACCATTGTTCCCCAACTGAGAATGACTGTTGTAGTTGGCAAGACTAGTAAATTGCAGGTAGTAATAAATACTATGAAGAAAAACAGGGTAAGACGGTGGAAATGGTGAGTGATGGTGATGAGGTTGATAGGATGGTTTTTGATATGTAAACCTGGCTAGCCTACACTCCGCCCCCCCCCCATTCAGCCAAATACTAAGTGTTGCTATGTGAGTATTCTGCACATAGTAATTTAAACCCTTAATCAGTTACCTTTGAGTAAGGGAGATTATCTAGGATAATCTGGGTGGGGCTAATTGAATCAGTTGGAAGGCCTTAACGCAGGGCTGAGATTTACTTGAGAGAAGAATGGAATTCTTCCCTCCCTGGCTTCTGTGGAAGAATGCTTCAACCTGTTCTCAGGGGGCCTGCCTAGAATCCATTCTTGCTTGTGTGGCCTATGAATTTTGGACTTGCTTAGCCAGTTCCAACAATTGCACAAGTTAATTCCTGGCAATAAGTATCTGCTACTGATTCTGCTTCTTTGATTGAAACCTAATTAATACAGCTGAGAACAGCCCTTTTGAGTTACTTTTCAGAGAACTCAGTGCACTAAGACATGATCTATGTGATGGTCTGGAAGAAAAGCATTCCAGGGAGAAAAGCAGAGTACAGAATTTGAGGTGAGGACAAACTCCGTGGATTCAAGGGCAATATGCCCTAACCCTAACCAGAAAGGAGGGGAACAGTGAGAGAAGAGTTCTGTGAGATGAGACATGATACTCATAAAGGTAAGACAAGATCATGTGGTATACGGTAGGTCATGGTAAGGAGTTTGTGCTTAGTCTAATAAGCCCAACAGGAAGCTATTGGGAGGTTTTTACCAAAGGAATATAATGATTTGAAAAGATTACTCTGGCTGCTCTGTGGAAAACTATCTGTGGTGGTGGTGGGTGGCAGAGAAACCAGTTAAGAGGCTAAAAATCCAGATAAAATAGTTACGGCTTGGTCTTCAGTGGTAGCACTGGAGGTTGTGAGAAGTGGTCTGATTATCCACATATTTTGTAGATAAGGCCAGTAAGTCTTGCTATAGGTTGGGAGGTAGGACCTGAGATTGAAGACTCAAGTATGATTTCTTGGCCTGAGCAATTAGGAGCAGGAGGTAGAGAATAATTGGAGAAACTGATTTGGGGTGTGAAGATGATTGGGAGGAAATTTTGGGGGTGTGTGTGTGGGGGGGGGTTGTTTTGTTTATGTTTTCAGATAAGCTAAATTTGATGTACTTCTCAGACATCCAAGCAGAAACAAGAGTCTGGAGCTCCAAGGAGAGGTGTTGCTGAAGACAATGATTTGAGTAATAGATGGTATTTAAAAGTCTTCTAACTTTTGTTAAAAATAGAACTACCCTATGACCAAGTAACTACACTACTAGATATTTACCCAAAAGATACCAAAAATGCCGATGTGAAGGGCACATGTACTCCAAGGTTTACAGCAGCAATGTCTACAACAGCCAAACTATGAAAAGAGCCTAGATGTCCATCGACTGATGAATGGATAAAGATGTGGTTCATATAGACAACGGAATATTACACAGGCATCAAAAAGAATGGAATCTTGTCATTTGCAACAATGTGGCTGGAACTAGAGTATATTATGCTAAGCGAAATAAAGACAAATACCATATGATTTCAGTTACGTATGGAACTTAAGAAACAAAATGTGAACACAGGGGAAGGTAGAGAAAAATAAGATAAAAATAGGGACACAATCCATAAAAGACTCTTAACTATAAAGAATGAACCCAGGTTTACGGGATGGCATAAAATGGGTGATGGGCATTAAGAAGGGCACTTGTTGGGGGCGCCTGGGTGGCTCAGTGGGTTAACCCTCTGCCTTCGGCTCAGGTAATGATCTCAGGGTCCTGGGATCAAGCCCTGCATGGGACTCTCTTCTCAGCGGGGAGCCTGCTTCCCCCCTCTCTCTCTGCCTGCCTCTCTGCCTACTTGTGATCTCTCTCTCTGTCAAATAAATAAATAAAATATTAAAAAAAAAAAAAAGAAGGGCACTCGTTGGAATGAGTACTGGGTGCTATATGTAAGTGATGAATCACAAAATTTTACTCCTGAAACCAATACTACCGTGTATGTTAACCAACTTGAATTTAAAGTTAAAAAAAAAAAGACCAGCAATATAAACAAATAGATAATAAAATCTTCTATTTAGGCTATCAGGTGGTAGGCAGAGTTGCCCCAGGTGCATAATCAAGCAAATGAAAAAAATCACTGCATTAGGTCAAGCTTTCACACAGTGTAATGGGCTCTTTATTCCTATTTAATTAAATATAAATAATTACAGGCTTTGAGCTGGACACTTTTTTTCAAAAAACAGTAATAACATACAACAAATGCACAGATCTCGGGAGTTAATTCTATCAATTTTGACAATTTCAGTGTAACATTTCATCTTCTCGGGAAAATTCCCGCCTACTCGCGTAACCTACAAAGATTGCACTCCAGTTTATAGCTCCGTGAAATTTCTACAAACGGAACATACCTGTAAACCAACATCCAAATCAAGACACAGGACATTATATAAACCTCAAATGCCTCCTCGTGGTTCTGTCATTGTCCTCCCTATGGTAGGGAAGACTATCCTGATTTTTAACACCGTAACTAACGACTTTTGTTGGTTTTAGACTTCATTTAAACAAAACCAAGCGACATAAACTCTTCTATCTGGCTTCTTTCCCTTAACGTCAGGTCTGTGAGATTCAGGCAAATTTTAAGTAACTGTAATTTGTCTATTTTGGTACCACATTCCAGAGTCTTCACTATGACAATGGCCAGCCTGCACTTTTCTAGTAGCTTTTTCCTTCTCAGACTTTATTCTAATCGCTACCTTGGACGATATATAAAGCTGAGTGAGGGTTATTTGACTTCCCAGAGGTTACTGTTTGTTCCCAGCCCTGTTGCGGCCGTTTTATGGCTGCCAAAGGCTAAAATAATATGAAAAGAGGAGGAATATAATGTAATCCCCGAAAAACTCAGCCTACATTTTCTCTGGTTAACAGCCTCAGTTAAATCCAATTCAAACGTGGGTTAGAACTAGAGAGTTGCAGAATGTTCGGTGAAGGGTTCAGAAGTACCATATCAGCACTTCAACAGTCAACGAAAAAAGGCGGGGCCACAACTGCGGCGGGAGACTGGTGGGGGCGTCTGGCATTAGCCTCTTTAACCCTTGGTGGCTCTACTGGGTCCCGTCACGTGGCCAGAGCAACCTCACCTCCGGTAGCGCTAGGTGATGACGCCACCACATCGCAGTTGTTAAATCGTGATGACTCCAGAGGGTCATAACCCACTGAAAACCGAACTATCCCCTTCAGGATCCTCTACGCTAAACGTCTTCATTCTTTTCTGTTTCAACGTAAAAATGCTGCCCCTTGTCCACCTTTTTGGTCCTTTTCTCACAGACGCTCACAAATTAACTTCGGACAAGATGGCTGCCTAGCCAACCCGGTGCCCTAGAAGGGACGGAATCAGCCGACTTTCTAGTCAACTTCCGATTTCGATCCCGAAGACCAGTACGTTATTTCCGGGGTTGGTTTAAGGTACGTCAACGAGCGGTTCTGAGCTGCGACTGCGCAGCCGGGACACGCGAGGTCAGGGTATAATACGCACAGTTGCCCGGGCAGAGAGGAAGAGGCGTTACTCTTCTCGAGCTGTTGGTTTGCTCGCGAGAGTTGAGCGTTGCTAGGAGGCTCGGCTTAAGGGGTGGGGCGAGGTTCGGCGGGGCGGAGCTAAGCGAGGCGGGCGGCGCGCGCGCGCGGGGTTGGGGGCGGTGCGGCGGCGACGGACTCGCGAAGGTTCCAGAGGCGCCGCGTGCGGGAGGCGGGCCGGGTCTCGCGCCGGGTCGGGTGTGCGCGCAGGCTTTGGGTCCTGCGACTCGTGCGGGTGGGGCCGGCGTTCGGGAAAGCGCGTTCGGTGTGGTGTTTCCTGTTCTCTCCCCTGCGCGTCTGCAGCTCGGGCCTTGCTTGATCAGCCCGACCATGGCTTCAGCTTTGGAAGAGGTAAGGGTACGGCTTCATCTTCCTCACTCGACCGCGCGGTACGTCGAGCGCTGTCGCCCGGAACTCGCTCCCGCCCCCCGCACCCACCCTCGGCCCTGTTTCCCGAGCTGAGGTGCCCGGCGGCCGCCTCCCAGGCTCCCTCCGTCCGGTGTCGCCGGGTCCCCGAGCTTCGCCTCGGCCGCCCACCTGCAGCGACCTCTGCCGGCTTCCGGCGTCCGGCCTCTGTGGCTCCGGGAAAGTTGCCGATGGACACCCGCCGCTCAGCCCCGGCCTTGCAGGCGATTCGTGCCCGCGGGCAGGGTGATCCGGGCTGTGTCGCGGTCCCCGGCTGCAGGTAGTGCCTGCGGTGGACCTTGGCGAGCTGGTCACCTTCACGTTTTCCTCAGGCTCCGTCCGCTCGCGCAAAACGAGCCGGGGACGTGAAGGTTCCTTCAGGCTGATTGCAGAAACCGAGGGTCGGGTGAGAAGTCTGCCCCCAGCACTTGACTTCTAGTGCTGTTTTCTCAAGGCATAGGAGAAGCTGGGTTATTTTGGGCGAGTTGTTGCGCGTCTCTGTGCCACAGTAGTGTCCATTTCAGAGAGTTAGACCCGCGAATAGTCCTGAGTGTTGAAAAGAGTGCGTGTCAAGCAGCAATGTGCTGTATGCGTTTTAAAAATAAATAAGTGGGAAAGTTGTAACTATCGGTGGGAAATAGCCTTTTTCTCTCTTAAGCTCTGTGAACTCCGAACAGGGCGGCTTAACTTTTTTGAAGACTTACTAGCTTGAACAGTTACCAAATGGGAAGAATAGTATTTGATTTGCTCTTTCCTGGCCTCAGTAGGATGTCACTATATGATACTATTATTCACAGGAAAGTGCTGCTTATTAATAGATTTCTTTTCTGGAAATGTTTTTCTCAATATGAACAAGTGTGAGGAATCTCAAACTTGATTTGGAAGTCTAAACATCTTTGAATGAAAAAAATGTGTGTGTGTGTGTGTATTATACTGGATACCTTGCCCCAGGTTTATGTTAACGTGTTACAGAAATATGCCTTAGTTTCCATGTGCCCTGAGGAAACGGTCTCTACAGTGACTTTACAGTTACACACGTGGACAGCTCAGTTATTAAGCCTCTTCAACATAAGGGATTTTTCTCAGTTGAGGTACTTAAAAAAATACACACTTAGGGACACTTCAGGGTTTGTTTTTCTTTGATATAAAATACATTGTTTAACCATTTGTAAAGTGTATTTTTAGTACATTCAGTGTTGCATCACTATCACTACTGTATAATTCCCATTTTTATCATTCTGTCCCCAAAAGAAAACTATTAAGTGTCTATCTGTTGAGCACTCTCTTCCTTCTTCCCCTCCCTGAGGCTGCCACTAATTACTTTGTCTCTATGGATTTGCCAATTCTGGACATTTCATATAAATGGAATCTTACAGAATATGGCATTTTGCTTTTGGCTTTTTTCACTTAACAGAATCCTAGTTCACCCACGGTGTGGCATGTGTTCCTTTTTGTGTCCAAATAATGTTCCATTATATGGATGTGCCACATTTTGTTTCTTCTTATCAGTTGATGGGCATTTGGACGATCGATTTTTGGCTATTGGGAACGGTACTGCTGTGAATACTGTGTACCACTTCTTATGTGGACATGTATTTTCAGTTCTGTGAGGTATGTACCCACGAGTGGACTTGAAGGAGCATATGGGAACTCTTTTCAAAGTGGCCGCACCAGTTTACATTCCCACAAGTTGGGTACCAATATAGGTCCACCCTCTTAACACGTGTTATTTTAGGGGGTGGTTTTGGGGATGTTTTAGTGGGTGTGAAGTGGCATTCTGTTGTGATTTTGATGTGCATTTCCTAAATGACTAAGGATGTTGAGCATCTTTTCTTGTGCTTGATGGCTGTGTTCAAGTCCTTTGCTTATTTTGAGCACTTTGGTTTTAATGCTTCCTGGTGAACTCAGAAATAGGTAAGATAAAGCTTGAATGTGTTAATGGGTGGGGATAAAAGGGATTGAGATTTTGCATAGGAAAACAAATGAATTCTAAGGTAAATTAGATGAGAAACTCCTGTGTGCCGGAAAAGTTCCAAAGGGATCGATTTTACTGGTTTCATGTCTGCAAATAACAGAACTGTGGAATTAAAAACAGGCCTATTGGGAGGTTACTTCAGACTTACAGTGACTCCCTTCCTTTTCAAAACTGCCTGGAAAGAGGGCCTGAGGATCCCAGAGTTTAAGAAGCCTGCTAGAGAAAGGATTCCTTGCCAGTCAAGAAATATAACATGTTAAGACTTGATATATTTTCTGTTTTGTTGTTGTTGTGTTAACTGAATCCTTATTCAGGAACAAATATACCGATTTTACATTTCAAGATTTTTAACATATTGATAGTAAAATCAGTGTGAATTTTTAGATCATGATAAGATACTGCGTTGAATGAAAGCATCTTGGTTCTCAGAAGATGAAATTGCAGGATTTTTTGTTTTAGCAATATGAGTTTTGGGAGGTTGGGGAGTACATAAGACAGGAGACTGCCACAGTTGGACTTTGTATTTACCATCCTTATAGTTACTGGTAAGTGAAATAAGGGCATTCGAGTTAAATGAGATAATGAAAGACTTAGGGTGAAACATGATTGTTTTTCTGTTACTGCATTTTGTAAGACTTACAAAACAAAGACTTCAGAAATCTACTTGGACATTATACTGAGTTATCAAACTTGTGAAGATTTTTATATTGAGGTTTTTTATATGCTCTGAGGCTACAGTGTATAATGTCCTATTACTATTACCAAGCCAGAATGTAAAGTCATTTCTGAAAAATGAAACCACTGTTTGTAAGGATCTTATGTATTTGCAGTATGTCAGAGGATAATGGAGAAAAGATTTTTAAGCTGATTATCTCATAGTGTCTTTAACTCTTGAACTTAATAAAATGTTGGCCATCTCTCTAGCAAGTAGAAATAGACACTGGTAGGCAATATATTAGCAAGAGGAGAAAAGAACAGGTGGTTTTTTTCAGTGATCCAGGACTGTGCCGCAGTTGGGGTTGTTTGTCTAGGTTTCTCTCTACGGGCAACTAAGACGCAGACTTTTGAGTGCAGTGTTAACCTGGAGATTCAGAACAAGACTTTTTCTTAAAAGCAGAAATATGTTTCTGTTTTTTTAATCTTCTAAAAAGCGCAAGCTTTTTTATTTGTAGTATTTGGGGTAGGAACCAGTGAGGAACCACCAGACAAAGTCGACTGCCTCTGTAAAGTTGCTGTAGCATTTCACCTTGTTCATTGTGTAGTTGCTCATCGGTTTTATTTTAAGATTTTTAAAATTCCTAGTACCTCATGACTATGAACAGATGTCATAAGGAAATCTATAAATTTTTTTTGAGATTCCTTCATTGAACTTTATGAATCACAACAGTATCTTGTAAATAACATGTTCTAAAACAGGCATATAACAACTACCAAACTAGAAAATTTAAGCTTGATTAATTACGTTACTATAAGTTTTCCTTTAAAAAAAAATAGGAATTTCAGTTATTTACAGTTCAGTAGGCTGAGAAAAGAATCTCAGGTTGCAATCCAACCCTAGAAAATTTAAATGAATCTCTTAATTCTTAGCTCTTCGGTAAACTGAATGATAAATTATCATAACCAACTTATCTTCTGTTTTAACACAGCTACAGAAAGATCTAGAAGAGGTAAAGGTGTTGCTGGAAAAGACCTCTAGAAAAAGAGTACGTGATGCCCTTACAGCTGAAAAATCCAAGATTGAGACAGAGATCAAGAACAAGATGCAGCAGAAATCACAGAGAAAAGCAGAACTTCTTGACAATGAAAAGCCAGCTGCTGTGGTTGCTCCCATTACAACAGGATATACAGTGAAAATCAGTAATTACGGTATGACTCCCTATCCTACATCCAGCTCTTTTTGCCTCCCAGCAACTTATTCCTGAGTAGTGACCCACTAACACTAAAATAGTCTCGGTGTTTGATTTTGGTAGTTTGAAAGAGAAGACCTGTTGTTACTTTATTAAGATGCTTTGGAAGAGATGAAAAAGTAAAGAATAGATTTAAAAGCTGTCAACAAGAGCAAGATGATTCTGTGTGAGTAGCAACAAGAATGAACCTATTCTGAAATATTGTTCAACATATAAGGAACACAGCTCTTTATTTTAATTCTGTTTTGGATTTTACTTTGCCAGACAGCCACCAGTATTATCTATGGAAAGGAATCTAGACAAATTCGAGAAACATTTTTGAGTGCCCAATCTGTGCCGCTGTTGTGCTTGGGCTTGTGCATATACAGTAGTGACCAAGACCCAGTCCTTGCTCATGGCGTGGTTAGGACACAGACATACAACTAATACTATTAGATGTAATGATAGCATTTTCTCTCAGTAGATAATTTTGGAACAGTGCAGCTTGAATCTGATGAGCTCTCTTAAGGGGAGGGACAGTCATTTTTCTTTCTGCTCCCAGTATCTAGCACACACTAATTACTTAATACTTGCTTGAACAAAGTGAATAGAGGTTTGTGAAGTTTTGTGGGAATACAGCTGATGTAATGGAAAACTGAAATGGAAGACAGAAGAATGAAATGGAGACTTAACACATTTGAATCTGAAGGGTGAGTTTGGCGAGTATAAGAAAAGGGAGGGGATTGTGTGAGCAGAGAACATGCTTAGAGCCATGAGAGGCAGCTTGTGTTTTCCCTGTTGTCATAAGGAAAAGCAGTGTGTTTTGTGTTTTAAGACATGTAGTATAGTGGGCACCTGCGTGGCTTAGTTGGTTAAGTGACTCCCTTCAGCTCAGATCATGATCCCGGAGTTGGGAGGTCTGCTGCTCCCTCTGACCCTCCCCCATCTTGTGCACGTGCACGCTTTCTCTCTCTCTCATATAACAAAATCTTTTAAAAAAGATGTAGTATAGTACCGTAAGGAGCTATGCTGTGTGTTTACTTGACTACAGGAAAGCTGGTCTGAGCTCGTAAGGATTATGGCATATACCCAGCAACCGTGATTTGTGTTAAGGGAGAAACTATTCTCAGTGTGGAAGATGAACTCAATGAATGGGAAGAAACTAGATGAAGGTCTGCTGAACCCTCTAGAATGTCTTTTTGGATTAACTGTTCTGTAGCACTCTATGGAAGTTAAGGAACGGTCAGGGATATATAGAGAGCCTACATATACAACAAATACATAAACATTTTTATTCACTTTATGTGAAGTTTGTATGTTTTTAGTTGACAGAATTCATCTAGGTTCATCAGATTAGATTTGGATGATTTGGACCATATTTTACTGTGTCAGTGAAGGGAATTGAGAAAGCAGTGATTGCCTTTGAACTGTTTAAGAGAAGTAGAAATGATTATGATATTAGAGAATGTTTAGACATCCAGTTTAGTAGAGAATTCTACAGTATACATCTACTTTTTAAAAAATTATTATTAATTTTTAATTATTTTAATTATTATTATTATTAAAGATTTTATTTCTTTGATAGAGAGAGCAGGGAGAGGGAGAAGCAGGCTTTCCGCTGAGCAGGGAGCCTAATGCGGAACTCGATCCCAGCACTCTGGGATCATGACCTGAGCCCAAGGCAGCTGCTTAACTCACTGAGCCACCCAGGCACCCCTACATCTACTTTAATAGAGAATTCTCTTTAGTAGAGAACACATTTACTTTAGTAGAGAATTCTACAAAATTTTCACAAAAAGAAAATGAGCTGCTCTTAATTTTTTTGAGTATAGTTGACCTGATGAAGTTTTAAAATGTAAGTGAGGTTCAGCGAGGTGGAATCTGGAGCCGACTACATGAAAGAATTCTTGAGACATCTTTGGTGCAGAATGGTGGTTTATTAAAGCACAGGGACAGGACCCGTGGGCAGAAAGAGCTGTGACCCTAGGCTTGTGAGGGGTGGCTGGTATATACTGTGGAGTTGGGGAGGTAAGGAAAAAGGGAGGGTTTGAAAGAACTTTCCTATGCTAAAGAGGACCTACAAGATACCAGAGGCCTTGCCATTATCAAGTTAAAGTGGTTTTCCTTTTAGTAAGGCATTAACAGTAAAAATAGTTGAGAGATTTCTGGAGTAATGTCACACTCCTGCTGTCACACGTCCTTATCAGTGAGCTTTAGGTTTAGAAGAAATTTAACTTCATTTACATTTCCCTCTGCCTCAGCCTCCCTCAATTTTAGGGAGGGGGGCGGAGATGATGTTAGGGCTTCTGGAACTGAGTTGTGGGTCCTTGGAAGTTAGGCTGTTGGTAAGAAAGGTTCTTCCTTGTAAATCACTAGGATATTTGTAAACTGAGGGAGACTCAGGTCTTGCAGGATTGTGATCTCTACAAGTTAACTATTTTTCTTTTAGGACAGCCAAGAATGCCTTAGGAATGTCACATATATCCCATTAGGGGGGGTGTTGCCCGGTGTCAGCTTCTAAGTTGTCCTCAGCTTGCCTTCTGTTCCCTCATTAGACCCACATTGAGACACTGATTTCAGGTGTACAGCACAGTGATCCAGCATCTCTGCTAGGCTGTGCTCACTGCAAGTGTCACTGTGCAACGCTATTACAGTGTCGTCTCTGTGTTCCTTACACTGTACCTTTTATTCTCCCCAGTTTATTCATTCCATAACCAGAAACCTGTACCTCCCACTCCCCTTTACCGCTGTGACTAGATCTTCCCCTTCACCCCGGCACCCATGGGTTTGTTCTCAGTATTGATGGGTCTGTTTCTGCTTTTGCTTGTTTCTTTAGATTCAACATACAAGTGAAATCGTACAGTGTTTGACTTCACTTCGCATTAATACTCTCTAGGTCCATCCCTGCTGTGGTGGATGTTAAGATGTCCTTTTCTTTTTTATGGCTGAGGAATAATTCCGTTGTCCTATATCTTTACCCATTCAGGGACACTTAGGTTGCTTCCCTCTTAGGCTCTTAAAAATAATGCTGCAGTAAACATAGGGATAGATGTACCTTTTAAAGTTATGTTTTCATTTTGCATGAGTAAATACCCAGTAGTGGAATTACTAAATGATAATGGTATTTCTGTTTCAAATTTTCTGAGCAGCCTCCATCCTGTTTTCCACACTGGCTGTTGCAGTTTACATTCCCACCAACAGTGTACACGGCTTCCTTTTCTCCATATCCATCCATACCCACGTTTGTTATTTCATGTTTTGGGGATCTTGTTTTTTAATTCTAGCCATTCTGACAGGTAAGGGGTGACATCTCATTGTAGTTTTGGTTGGTATTTCCCTGATGATTAGTGATGTTGAGTATCTTCATGTGTCTGTTGGCTACATGTATGTCGTCTTTGGGGAAATGTCTGTTCAGGTCCTCTGCCTTTTTTAATCGGATTGTTTGGGGGTTTTGCTCTTGAGTTGTATGCAAATTCTGTACTTTGCATGTTAACACCTTATCAGATAGATTATTTGCAAATATCTTCCATCCAGTAGGTTGCCTTTTCGTTTTATTGATTTTTTTTTTTTTTTTTTTTTTTTTTTTTTTTTTTTTTTTTTTTTTTAGATTTTATTTATTTGACAGGAAACACAAGTAGGGGGAGTGGGAGAGAGAAGCAGGCTTCTGGGTGAGCAGGGAGCCGGACACAGGGTTTCATCCCAGGACCTTGGGACCATGACCTGAGCCAAAGGCAGATGCTTAACGACCAAGCCACTCAGGCACGCTCCTGATGATCCTTTTTTATGCAGAAACTTTTAGTTTTAGTACTGCTTTTGTTTTCCTTGCCTCAGGAGCCACACCTAGAAAGATGTTGCTTTGGCCAATGCCAGAGACATTATTGTCTGTGTTGTCTTCTAGGAGTTTATGGTTTCAAGTCTCACATTTTGGTCTTTCATCCATTTTGAGTTTCTTTTTGTGTGTGGTGTTAGTAAAATGAGCTACTCTTAATGTGTAATGATCATATTCCTTATTCTTAGGAATAAAAAAACCACAGGCTTTGTTTTCAGGAAACCTGGGTTTGAGTTGAAGTTCTACCACAAACTAGATACCTAACTTTGGATAGATTATATAACTGCTCTGAAGCTCAATTTCTCCATCTAGAAAGTTGCTTGTATTTTAATTTTTCCCATGTTTCTATTACTAGAACTTCGCTTTCTCCAGGTTCAGGAGCAATATGCATTTGCTGTTCTAGAGATAGTATGAGACTTTATTCATGTCCCTTTTTTGTTACTAGGATGGGATCAGTCAGATAAGTTTGTGAAAATCTACATTACCTTAACTGGAGTTCATCAAGTCCCCACTGAGAACGTGCAGGTGCACTTCACAGAGAGGTGAGTTCTCGCGATGGGAAATAGTGACCACCAAGTCAGAGGTTGCTTTATTACTGGTTATTTTCTTTGCATTTTCTAAAACTACTTAAATTTAGAGTTCTCCTTTACTCCTGCTTTGAAGAGCCTAATCTTACCACTAGGGATGGCCAATTGACATCCTAAAATAAAACTTGTGGCTTTTTTCCGTAAGAGCTATAGAGCATGTCTTATAGAGCCAGGGATAATGTATTCACTGTTGTATTATAGGTCATTTGATCTTTTGGTAAAGAATCTAAATGGGAAGAGTTACTCCATGATTGTGAACAATCTTTTAAAACCCATCTCTGTGGAAGGCAGTTCAAAAAAAGTAAGTTTGCTTTTTTTTGTCATTATGTTGTAAAACCTCATTAAGTTGAACCTGGTTGATTTAGAATTGAGAGGAACTAGAATTAATTTATCCTCTGTAACAGGGATCAGCAAACTGTAGTCTGATGGCTGTATTACTGGAACAATGCCAGGGCTCACTTTTTGTGTTGTCTTTGCCTTTGATTGTGCTGTAATGGCAGAATTAAGTAGCTATGTGAGAGAAACCTAAAATAATAACTGTCTGGCTCTATTTCAACTCCTGTCTTTAGAAGAATAGATTATTATAAAAATATTGCATTAAAATCAAGAAGGGAATAAACTTTCAAAATTGGTTAAGAGATTTGAGTTTTCATGTCAGTTTTATCACTTACTAGTTGTGACTTTTTAGCAGCTCACTTAAGCATTCTGAGCCTCAGTTTCCTGAGGACAATGTACAATGGAAATAGTTTGTACAATGGAAATAGTTAATTTTACAAAGTTGAAATTATATACTGAAAGGGAATATATATAAAGTATTTAAATTAATGGTAGCTATTCTCAGAAAACTGTCTGAATTTTTGATAACATAAAGGGATTTAATTAAGCACTTAGCCTAACTAGAAGTAGTAAAACCTATAAAAATAAGTGGCTTTTTAAACTACTGTTCACACTTAGATAATCTCCTTTCTACTTCAGTGAGGTTTAATGCATCTGTGCATAGATGTGCCGTTGTACCATTCTGCCATCTGTGTTTACATTGTTCTGTAGCAGTTTAAAGGCAGTATTGGAATAAACATGAATTAGCTTGTGTCTCACTGCTCCTTCTTTATCCATCAATCCCAGAGTTGAACAAATACTCAAAAGAATCCTAGGAATTATATGGATCATTGTTGAAAGAGTTGTATATTATTTTTATTTGTGCCTGTCTCTGATCATTCTTACTGTATTATTCTCTTCCTTCAGTCACCAAATTCCCATCACTTTTTTTTAATTAGACCAAAATTATCCCATTTTATAGCCTTTGATAGCTTTACTCCTTGCTGTGCCCTTCCTTCTGGATCTTGGGCCACAGCTCAGTTTTCACCTCAGAGGCCTTTCCTAATGAAGTTCCTCTTCCAAACCCCATTAACCCCTTTTTGTCTTCAATATATTTGAATTTTACTTGTTTATGCTCTTTCTCTTTCATGAGTCCTATTTGTAAATGTACTATTACAACCTAAGACAGGTCCTACACATAATAGTAACTTGACTGAGTAAATGTTTTCCATATAATCATACTTATTTACCTCCATGTGTTGTAAGTTGTACTTACTCTGCTCTTCTTCCAGGTCAAGACAGATACTGTTCTTATCTTATGTAGAAAGAAAGCAGAAAACACACGGTGGGACTACCTGACTCAGGTTGAAAAAGAATGCAAAGAGAAAGAGTGAGTTTACTTTGATTTAAGAATTTAAATGTATTCTTTGCTGGTATTGTAGATTGCTAATACTTTGCTGTTATGAATAAGAGCTGGCTAGTAGTTTGACCATGACACCTCCTAATGTCCAGTGTTTTTTTTTTTAAGATTATTTATTTATTTGACAGAGATCACAAGTAGGCAGAGAGAGAGAGGAGGAAGCAGGCTCCCTGCTCACGGGGCTCGATCCCAGAACCCTGGGATCATGACCTGAGCTAAAGGCAGAGGCTTTAACCCACTGAGCCACCCAGGTGCCCCAATGTCCAGTGTTTTTAAGGAGGCCATAGATCCAGCAAGTTGCTTTTTATGGAGGGTTTTTGTTTTGGTTGGCTTTCTTGCATTGGTTTGTTCCCCCTCCCCTCCCCCCAATTTATTTGACAGAGATCACAAGTAGGCAGAGAGGAAGGGAGGCAGGCTTCCTGCTGAGCAGAGAGCCCGATGCGGGGCTGGATCCCAGGACCCTGAGATCATGACCTGAGCCGAAGGCAGAGGCTTTAACCCACTGAGCCACCCAGGCACCCCTCTTGCATTGGTTCTTAACCCTGGCCAGTGGTGCATTTGTGAGCATGTGAGAGCAAGTGAGCATGTGCAGGGGAGGTGGCAGAGCAGGAGAGAAGAATCCCAAGCAGGTTCCATATCCAGCACGGAGCCTAACATGGGGCTCCATCTCTACCCTGAGATGGTGACCTGAGCTGAAACCAAAACCAAGAGTTGGATGCTTAACCACCTGAGTCACATGGGTGCCCCACCCATCCTGCTGCTATACAGATTCTGTGTCCATTCCCAGAGATTCCATCTCATTAGTTCCAAGAGAGGTCCAGATACCTAGATCAACTTTCTGAATTCCACAGAAGTTCCTCATATGTAGTTAGTTTCACTCACTGGTGTAGAGTGCAAGAGAGTATTTTTATCCTACTTAATGGCTATTCTAAAAAGTTTATTTAAAGATACTTCCATTCTAGGTCAAATTGTTCCTCTGCTTGAAATGTCTTGCACTGGCAATGTCCTACATTGAGTCTTTTAGCCTTCCTCCTTCCTCTCAAGTATACTTGGTTGGTAGAGTTAGGAACTATCTGTATCTGATTTGATTTTAAATGTAGAACAAATTAAGGAGTACAGGACTATGTCTTTCTCTTGTATCCTCAGTGCCCAATTACCTCATTCAGTACCAGATCACAAACATGAGGAATATGAAGTTAACTTGGCCCTGCTTGGACACTGGTTGAACTAGAGGCACGGATGATATGGAGGGACCATATCAGTAAATGGGATCATTTAGAGACAGATCTGTCTCCATTACTGATTGTGTTTTCTTTTTCACAGAAAGCCCTCCTATGACACTGAAACAGATCCTAGTGAGGGATTAATGAATGTTCTAAAGAAAATTTATGAAGATGGAGATGATGACATGAAGCGAACCATTAATAAAGCCTGGGTGGAATCAAGAGAGAAGCAAGCCAAAGGAGACACAGAATTTTAAGACTTTAAAGTCATTTTGGGAACTGTGATGTGGAAATAATGATGTTTCCAAGGAGGAAATGTTGGTGAGCTGCACAGATAAATTTGACAAATAACTACTTACACAGCCTTCTTCTAAGTAAAGGCAGTGATTTTTCCCATTTCCTCCTGGAGGATTTATTTAAATAAAATATGCTTATTAAACACTTCCTCCAAAGATGGTTTCCTTAGTAATCTGGGCATTTTGTTCAAAAAAGGATAATATCGTATTCTTGTGTGAAATGTAAAACAGCAAGTCTTGCCTAATGATAATGCCACATTGTGTGTATTTTTGTTCAGCTAAGAGGTAGAAACAAAAGTTCTTGTTTGCATATAAGTTCCTGATTATCAGCTCTCACCATTGTAAGAGTAAGTAAAAATAAAACCTGAATTTTTGCATAAAATGTGAATTCGTACTTTTGTGCTTCAAGGTTGCCATAGTTTTCTTTGAGCAGCTTAAGTAATACATCTACCACACGTTACCATGGCCTACTAATCCAGTCACAAATACTGTTCTCTAGATTTAAATGCTCAGAAATAAAAATTAAACTTGAAAAGGAAGACATCTTTTATAGTACCAGTTAGTAAACTGCCACGGATCAGACGACTTTCAAAAGTAGTGACCATAAAACAAACATCCATCTAGTTCTATATTCAATAAACTTAACTAGGTTTTTGTTCAGTGGAACAGTTCTACCTCCAGGAGTATGTCAGGAAAGGCTTATTAAAAGGGAGGATTTCTTTTAGAATCCCCCCCACCCCAAATCCAGAGTTAAGAGCAAGATGCAAGATGCTGTGATCTCTATTACTACATTATATTAATGCAATTAGATAAGAGAAAGTGATTAATAAAAAATACAAGAGGATTAACCAAAACTATTACAATTAGGAGAATTTGGTAAACATGGTAGGGTAAAAGTTGGTAGGGTTTAAAATTAACAAATAGGGTGACTATTAATAAACATTTAACAAAACTTCAAAAAAAATTAGACAACCTATACAATAAAATTCCTGACATTGGTACATAAATAGAGCAAACAAAAAGATCCAAGGCATCTGGAAGTTTTAGAATATAGTAACAGCATTTCAAAACTGCAGGAGAGCTGGGCATTTGAGATAACAGCCAAACATATCAAAGATCTAAATGTAAAAACGAAGCCAAAGAATACTAGGAGACGTGGACAGAACTCCACCCTAACCTAAGAGTGAGGAAAACTACACTGTGACTTACAATCTTGAAGTAATAAAGCTAAATATTAGTAATTTAACCACACAGTGTTCATGTGGCAGAAAAGCTCCACAGTAACCCCCAAAACATGACATAACTGAGGATTTCCAAATTAAGTTCATAGGAAAAGGAATGTAACTTTTAACTTGTACTAAAGATGCTCCCCTCCTTCAGAAGAAAAAAAACAGTTTAATCTTTTACTGGAAAAACAGAAGTTCAACCTACTGAGAGTACAGAGAAATACCTAATACTAGCAAAAATGAATGATAAATGCAAAAAAATAGAAATACCCAAATGCCAATTAATTGAGTACTAGCTGAATAAACATCTATCTAAATGGGGGGGGGGTTCTTACAGTCACAAAAAGAAATGAATATTTCTACATACAGAATGATCAAGATCCAGGAAAAGACAGTGCAGAAAATTGTTTATGGTATACTTACCTTAATGTCCAAAAGGGTGAGACAGGTGAATACACAGACATAGACATATTTACTTATTTCAGAAAGAAACTAGAAGAGTAACCCAAAACTAATAATAATGGTTACCAGTAGGGAAAAGAATGAGGTGGGATGGAAACCATACTTGTGAGTGTATTTTTGTCTGTAGTTTTGACTTTAGAACCATCTAAAAATTTAACAATTTAAAAGCTAAATAAAAATAATCCTAACATTTGAAAACAAACCTAACATACCAAGTTGAGACAAATGTGATACTTGCAAGTGATTTAGAACACAGTATTTTGACTCTCCGTTGCTAATGCAATGGGAATTGAAAGGCAAACCCACAGAAGTCTTAACACTATGATCACTTAGGAGTAAAATCAGTGTATGTATGCTGAAGCAATTTTTATGTATTATAAAGGTAATAAATAACTCAAGTCATTAAGAGTTTATACTTTAACAAATACAGAATCGATATAAACTTACCATTATTTTTTTTTAAATGCATATTTCTTAGCAACATCCCCCAAAAGGGCTTAAAGGCAATGACAATTCAGAATTCAGTAGCAAACAGCAGCATTCTTAGTGCTCAGATGTGGTCTCTAAACATTTCATACTAAAAGGACCAGGGACCCTTAAAAAAATGTGAGGCAGAAAATACACAAGGTAAGCCTGCATTATCTTATGCCAGAAAATGAAGAAATACCAAATATCCTTCATCAAGTTAACAGAATTCAGGACCCAGCAGTGGGAGGACACCAGAAAGCTGCCTTCTGATGGCATGGCAAAGTACACAGCACACTTGGGAAAATCCACACCTAAAAATCTAAACCTGAATCTAGTCAAGCCTCTCAGTGTAACTACGAGTTTTTAGGGATAGGGGAATAAATTAAAGGACACTTGAAAAAGCAAACAGCCAAATGTTGGCATCCTACAGGACACATGGCATGGCTCCCCCAACAAACCAGTGACTTGTAAACAGGAGAGGCCCAGCAACCAAAGGAAATCGATGGATCATGCTTGGGCACTTTAATCAGACAGATTCAGAGAGGGAGATCACAAGTTGATAGGCAAGCAGAGAGAGGGGTAAGCAGGCTCCCTGCTGAGCAGAGAGCCGGATGTGGGGCTCGATCCCAGGTCCTGGGATCATGACCTGAGCTGAAGGCAGAGGCTTAAGCCACTGAGCCACCCAGGCGCCCCTGATCGCTGGGATTTCAATGAAGTCTTACCTTCACATAATGTATCTTCCATGATATGGCCTTTGTCTTGTGTTTCATGTTTCTCATACGACAGAGGGGCTGCAGTTACGCTCTTTGATCCGCTCCCCTGGATCCCTCTGCAAAAACCTCATCCCTTGCCTCCTGATTTACGTTCAGATATCAGCTCTGGGAACACATTCCAGATGTTAAGTGGGTGCTTCCATACTCGCACCCTGGACACTTTTATCACTGGGCTGATCACTGTTGAGTTACTAAACAAGACAATCTTTTGCTACCTTTATTCATTTCTGTTATAGATAAACCAGAATTAAGAAAATATATACTATTCCAACAAAACTTTCCTGCTTGGATACATCTTTGGAGGCTTTAAGAGACCTTTTGTTCTAAAGGCCGCTGAAGATGGAACAAGAAAACACTGAGTGCTTCTGCCTCTTGTCCAGCCATCACGCAGAGAAGCGGAGCCCGAGTTAGATAACCAAGAACACCAGCTGCACCTCCTAACACATCGTTTCCGTAACAACGAGCTAGCGGTACAATGCGCTGTGCAGCTCGGGGAAGCCGGCCCATCTGACAAACTGCCCGATGAGCTACTTGTCCATGAGCTGCATTAACTATGAGATAATTCTGCTTTAGGAAATAATACCCCTAAAAAATACAAGAACTCTCATGTGTTGCTAAAAGATTAAGTGTGAAGGAAAAGGCAGGCATACAGAAAATATTTTCAGAGTATTTTTTATTACTTTACTCCGTGTACTCTCTATGCATAGAAACAGTATGGTTAATTTTTAAGTCCAAGAGAAGAGAGAATTTCGCAGATAGCCAGAATTCACTGACAGAATGAGACATCCACCAAATTTCTTCATTTAAAATTAAAAAGTACTTTAACCGTAGGCAGCATCAGGTAGACTAGACTCCCATCCTGGACCCCTATAAAACTAGGTTTTCATCTATTAGAGAAGCCTCTTCTTGCCAGAACTGGGTTCCCTGCTCAGTGGGTTCTGGAGCAGGTCACCATATTGCTCGCTGGACCCCCGACAGCTGCCCGTGGTCTGCTAAGTGACGGAAGACAATACGACTAAGCCTCCAGCGCCGCTTTACGCCACGTGGACGGGACGTCATCACACACCGATTTCGGATTCTAACAGGACAGCTATCCCGGGGAAGGGCAGCAATTTCTCCATCGGCCACGTCCTAAGGGAAGTCACAGTATTACTGCACCGATCACATGCGCACAGTTATTCTATATGCTTCAGTCAACGCTCAGAGTAAGGGAACACATGGCTAGAGTCACTAATGCAGTCAGTTTCCCCAAGAAACCTTAGACACAGTTGTGAACCTTAACCTCTGGGTAGACACAAATAGACCAGATAAATGACAGAAATGTCTGGCATGCTCCCAACACAATTTTTAAAAAATTTATAGAAATTTAACCCAGAGGGGCACCTGGGTGGCTCAGTGGTTTAAAGCCTCTGGCTTCGGCTCAGGTCATGATCCCAGGGTCCTGGGATCGAGCCCTGCATCAGGATCTCTGCTCAGTGGGGAGCCTGCTTCCCTTCCTCTCTCTGCCTACTTGTGATCTCTGTCAAATAAATAAATAAAGTCTTAAAAAAAAAATTTTAACCCAGATATGCAAGAATCCACAAACTGTTATGTGGGAAGCTCACTCACTTTTAACAGAGCAGCTCTGTAATAAGCAACTGGAATGCAAACACACATTGTCAGCACCCCAGGCCCCTCCTGTGGCTCGTAGTAGACACTGAACACAGGCATTGTTAGCCAGCAGCTCTCCTGGTTACTAACGCTGGTGGGTTCTCCTTATTTAGGTTTTATATAAATCTAATCATGCAGCAGGCACTCTTTTTTATTCATTTCTCTTTGGCTTCTTTCATTCAGTAACACACTTGTGAGACTCCTCCATACGGCTGCGTGTGCCGTAATCCATTTGTTCCCACTGGTGGTGATAAGAGCATTAATTCATTTACCCACTCTATAGCTGATGGACATCTGGGCAGTTCTCAGTTTTGAGCTATTATGAATAGGGCAGCTACATAATTTTTTAAAAATCCTTTTTCTATTGAAGTACAGCTGAAATACGGTTACATTAATCTCAGGTCTACAGCAGTGACTTGACAAGTCTATACATTACTCTGTGCTTCCCGCATGTGTACCTACCATCTGTCACCACACAACACCGTCACAATACCACGGACTATCATCCCTGCACCGCATCCTTCATCCCTATGACTTATTCATTCCATAACGGGAAGCCTGTACCTCCCATTCCCCGTCACTGCTTATGCCCATCTCTCCCCTCCAATCCTGGCAACCATCAGTTTCTTCTATGTATGGGTCTGTTTCTGTATTTGTTTTGTTTTATAAGATTCCACATGAATGTGAAATCTTATGGCATTTATTTTTCTCTTATTTCACTTACAGTACTTTCTAGATCCATCCATGTTGCTGCAAATGGCAAGATCTCACTTTCTATGGCTGAATAATATTCATTTCTTGTGCG